ACACACACACACACACACACACACACGATCCATCCATGTGAGATTTTAAATGCACAAAGCCTCAATACTTAGAGGCCAACACTAGGGCCCATCCCCCTACCCTTCACCATGTACTAAATCCTCAGTCACCTGGAAGGAGAGTTAGCAGGGGAGATGTAGTGGCCATCAGTAGGCAGTGACCAGCTGCGAGTTACGGAGCCAACCGCTTGTTACTGACAATCGATGTCAACGGTCGTGAGTGGTTTGCTTAGTTGTACAAATTGGAGAGGGTCCCAGGTGATACCGATAGTGATGTCACCCCTTACCCCAAGCACTCCCTTTTGCTTTCTCATAGGACAAGCAAGGGGGGGGGCACAGCCATGGCACCAAAAATGCACTTCCCTCGCAGGGGTGGGCAGCCCTCCTCGAGGGTCACAGCCATGGGTTTGCAACAGGAAAATGTCGACAGCCTCTGGTCTAGAATGGGGACCCCAGAAGGCAGACAGAGCTGGATGACACATCTCTGAGATGCCATCTGGCCCATCAGCAACCAGCAGCATTTACCGATGGTGTGTACCTGTGGCCTTGCACTGCTGCAGTCAGATGGTCCAAACGTGAGAGAGAAAGAGAGTACGTCAGAGGGAGAGAAGGAGACAGAGAGGAAGGGGAGGGAGGAGAGGGAGAGAGGGAACAGCGGAGCTGCTGCCAGGGATTCCCTGGGCATCAGGCCTCCATGAAGCCATCCTGTAACCCACCCCTCTTCTCTTCTGGTCAAGTCACTTTTTGCTTAAGCCAGTTGGAGTAGACTCTTGTTCTTTGCAAACAAAAGGGCCTGTGCCAAGTCCCATTCCTGGCTAACGAGCTGCAGGGGGAAGGACAAGTGGGCTGGAGGAAACTTCCAGAGGCTGCATGGAGGCGGGGTGGGAGGTACAGGGAGCCCCCTGGGCTGTACAGCAGCTTGTTGCCATAAGGGTTCTGGAGAGGACCCCCTCAGCCAACCCATTTTCTCCTCCTGCTGAAGTCTGGTTCGAACAAAGCACCCAGGGCTTTCCTTCTTTGGAAACCCACTGGCACAGCACAGGGCACTGGCAGGGAGTGGAGCCCGGATGCCTCCTAGCTGCTCTGCTCCCTTGCTCATCCTGCTTGAAAGAACGGAGGGAAATCCCAGCTGCTTAGTCATTTCCGCTCAGTCAGGCGGGGAGTAATGTGTCCTCTGACCCCTGGGGATAATGTCCCCTGAAGAACCATCCGTGTCCTTCCCTGAGGCTAGATCACTGAGCCAAGTGTCCAGACTCCAGTCCCTTCTGGCAAAGCCTTGCAGAGCACGTTCAGCTCCACTTCCCCCAGTGTCAGGAATCTGTGGTGTGATGCCTGAGCCTGGTCTAGGACTTGGCAGCCAGTCTGTCCCACAGTAGAAAGAACACTAGTGTCCAAAAGCTGTCTTGACTTGACTCCTCTATGCAGCCTCAGAGGTATCACGGAACTCCTGGTCCTCAGTCTCCTCATCTGTACAATGGGATAATGCAAACTGTCCCACCAGTTTCCCAGGCCGGGAGGGTTACATATGATGGAGTGTGGGACCAGGATGGCCACACGGGTGTCAGGGACAGGTGATGCTCCCACTCCCTCCACAGAGCCTCCAGCCTCGCCGGCCTGATGAGGGTACACTGATCTCCTATGGAAAGCATGCAAAGCAGGTATTTTCTCTAGTACCTGGTTCGGATGTTCTACAACAGCATTCACAGCACCCTCCTCTTGTTTTCACAGGGGTCAGGGTATCAGGGACCCTCTTAAGCAAGGCTTCCAAATGTGGGATCCCATGCTGCCAGGGACCCACAAAACATGGCCATGGTACCTGCAGACTGATATCAAGATTTCAGAAGATGTGATGGAAGATATTTCAAAGGTCAATTTTCTTTGCTTTGGACTAGAATGTTCTTCAACATATAGTAGTAACACCCATTCTCATGGCAGCCAGCAGCTATGTTTGGTAATAAGATATTTCTGGTTAATAGAACTATGTATCCTAAGTGTTATATGATAAATGAGATTTGCTTGATAGGAAGACCCTTTTTTCAAAAGTAGCAATCCCCAGTGATTTCACTTTAGGTATTTTTACTAAGAAATAATTATGAATACATGCGATGATTAATGGACAATGTATCTATTAATACATCATGCACAAAAGTTTTTTAAAAGTTCAACAAGCGGTTAAAATTAAAGGGTATTCAAACGATGAGATCATATGCAGTTACTAAAAATCCACCTTGTAGAAGAATCTTTTAAAACACTGAGGAATATATTATTTGTATATTGTTGAACAGGGAAAAAGATTTGCAAAACAGTAATATACATGATTCCGATTTTGTGTGGGGAAAATAAAAAGTGTTTTCTGCACTTTGCAAGTTTTCTGCAAATAGTATGGTGATGATTTTTACAGTTAGAGGGAAAGGTAATAAATGCCATTTGGGGGATTTTTGCAAGAATCAAGTTTCTAGGGATGCCTGGTTCGGCTCAGGGCCTGATCCCAGGGTCCTGGGATAGAGTTCTGTATCAGACTCCCCACAGGGAGCCTGCTTCTTCCTCTGCTCATGTCTCTGCCTCTCTCTGTGTCTCTCATGAATAAATAAATAAATTTAAAAAAAATCAAGTCTCTAAAACGGTCTTGAAAGTTGAGAGTTCAAGGAGACCCCAAGAGCAGACACTAGTGGGCCCTCCTCCCTGACCTGTAACAACCTTTGGCTTACAGAAGTCTCCTGCCTCCATTTGTCAAAATGTCAAATTGACACGCCCAGTGTTGGTGAGGATGTGGATTCGTGGTACCTCTTGCCCACTGCAGTGGGAGTGTAAGAGCTTTTGACTCTATCTCCCAAAGTCAAACATTCTTGTGCCTGAAACTAGCAGCCAACACGTGTCCATCGGTAGGCATTACAAAGATAACCTTAGCAGCCCCAGTCACTTTGGCAGAACCTGGAGAAACACCCTCCGCTGTTCCTCCAGAGGAGGAGGAAGAAATGCCCTGCGGGGTGATCCCACACTGCACCGGAGTCAAATCAAATTAATTGGTGTTTCAGTTCAAGAAATGGGAAAAAGTTCTGGAGCTGGATAGAAGTGATGACTCTATGACAATATGGATGTACTTAGTGCCACTGGAGTGTGCCCTCAAAAAGGCTCCAAGTGCTGCATTTTACCACAATACAGAAACATATTAACTACAGTGAACTCAGAAATGTGGATATAAATTCATGATGATAATATTAAGTAAAGAAAGAAGTTTCCAAAAAAAAAAAAGAAAGAAGTTTCCAAAGATGGCATATGACATGAGATCCTCATGATAAAGTTAAAACAACCAAAGCTAAAAAATATACGTTTTGAGGAAATAAATACAATGTAATATGTAAATAATATTATAATAAATAATGTAAATAAATACAAGTGTATAATAAAAAAAAACAAGAGGGGTACCTGGCTGACTCAGCCAGAGGAGCATGCAACTCGATCTCGGGGTTGTAGATTTGAGCCCCACATTGGGTGTAGAGATTATTTAAAAATGAAATCTTAAAAAAAAAAAAAAAAAAAAAAACAAGGGCACCTGGTGGCTCAGTCGGTTGAGCGTCTGACCTGAGCATAAGGTCGTGATCTTAGGGTCCTGGGACTGAGTCCTGCATGGGGCTCTACTTCTCCCTCTCCCTCTGTTGCTTCCCCAGCTTATGTTCTTTCTCTCTCTGTGTGTATCAAATAAATAAATAAATCTTTTTTAAAAAAAGAGAGAATGATGAACATAGAATTCAGGATGATGTTTACTTGGACTAGGGAAGAGTCACCTCATGGCTTGATATGTACTATGATTAAGGTCCTGTGTTTTGCTGGGTAAGGGAGTCACAAGTGTTTATTACGTTAAAAGAAAGAAAATGGAAGGAAGGAAGAAAGGAAGGGGAGAGGGAAGGGACAGGAAGGAAGGGGAGGAAGAGAGTTGGAAGGTGAGAGGGATGGATGGAGGAGATAAAGGGAGACAGGAGGAAGTCACGCAAGCACCTAAGATAAGAGTATGTCTTGAAACAAGGATTTGGGTTAACCCAATTCTGGTCACCTGGTGTCCTTTTAAAAGTGCTAAACTAAACAGTAATTTTTTAGCAATGGATCGACACGTCAAAAAACCATTTTTAAAAGTAAAAAGATGACTAACACAGCATTTAGGATAGTGGCTGCCCGGGGGTGAGGAGGGACGTGTTCGAACTTCCCTCCCTGATCCTGGCACTCCATTTCTTAAAATCAGTCCTGAATACATGATTGCTCACTTTATTATTATTCCTAAAGCATACACCTAGTTTATATGCACTCTTTTGTATGTGTGATTTACTTCACAATTAAAAAGTAGAGAAGAAAGGGAGCATAAATTAATGGAATAGAATGCGAAGAAACAATAGAATTTCGAGTTCTCTGAAAACGCCAGCGCATAATCAAAGCTCTGGCAAGACTGATCAGAAAAACAGGGAAGGCACATATATTCAGAATGCAAAAGAGGATACACCTAGAGAAATGGTAGAGATGTTTAAACTCTTAAGAGAACAGTGTGACATATCCTATGCCAATAAATTTTATTTGTTTTTTTAAAAGATGCTATTTATTTATTCATAAGAGACACAGAGAGAGAGAGAGAGAGAGAGAGGGAGAAGCAGCCTCCCCAAGGGGAACCCAATGAGGGACTCGATCCCCAGACCTGGGACCACAACCTGAGCTGAAGGCAGACACTCCACCGCTGAGCCACCCAGGAGTCTCATGCCAATAAATTTTAAAATAGACAAAATAAGTAAAGTTCTAGAAAAATGTGTACCAGGATATGAAAATGGGACTTTCTCCACCTCGTCCTCAGTGAAAGCTCCAGAGACTGAGAGGAAAGCACAATTGCCAAACGCTTGCCAGTTCCTAAACAAGAAGCCAAACCACCTGGCCTCCACAGGGCAAGCTAGGGTTCTGTGAAACCAGTTCTGCAGGCACCGACCTCCACTCGGGTCTGGCTGCCGAAAGGGTACATACAGACTGGAGAGGCCTGGACGAGAGAAAGGTGCTTCTGGAGGTGAGTGGGCAGGCAGGTGCTTCCCCATCACTTCAAATCAAGTAAGAGAGGCTTGAGGGGGACCCCCAGGGGGCCTGAGGGGTTTCCAGGGCTGGGGGGTCCTAAAGGTTTACCCCTACCTGAAAAACACTAAAGGCAAGTTCACAGAGAGCTGCCTGGCGGCAGAGCAAGAGTAAGGAGAAAGAGCTATGTTAGGGGCACTCTGCCGACAGTGGCCAAGGAAGCACGCATTTACCAAAGGCAACAGGGATGGGGATGAGGGGGAAAGGAGTCTGCCCTCCAGGGGGCCGGACCAGACAGAGAGTCGACAAGGAGGACCAGATGGCCAGCTGGAGTCAAGATGTCACCACGCTGCAAGCTTAGCAAACTGGAGGTCCCAGTGGAGTGGATGGGCCTTGGAGATATGCACAAAATTATAAGTAGAGAAAGAGCCAGCTTTAGACTTCCAGAAGCCTACAGAACACCAATCTCCTCTTAAATGCACCTGTCTCCTAAGACTGTGTTCTGTACCTTACAACCCCTGACCCGGTAGCTCTGCAGATTGAATATGATTATCTATCTATCTATCTATCTATCTATCTATCTATCTATCTATATCTATCCAGCCAGCCAGCCAGCCAGCCTGGCCACAAGCTGCTTATCCTGAAAATGCAAGGAAGGTTTAATTTCACAAAAAAGTGACTAATGTAATTCACTATTTTAATGGAAAAAAATGAAGAAAAATTATATGAAGAATTTTTTTACAAAATTCAAATCTATATTTTAATTCAAAGCTTCATGTTAAAAATAAACATATCTCTCTCTCCCTCTCTAAAATAAATAAATCTTTTTTTAAATATCTAAAATCAGTGCCTGGGTGGCTCAGTTGGTTAGACATCTAAATCTTGGTTTTGGCTCAGGTCATGGTCTCATGGGTCGTGGGACTGAGCCCCATGTCAGGCTCCATGCTCAGCACGGAATCTGTTTGAAGATTCTCTCTCTCTCTGCTCCTCCCCCTACTCACCCACACACTCTCACTAAAATTTAAAAAAAAATATTTTAAAATATATATCTAAAGTAAACAAAAACACTTAGAGATTAGGGATACTAGGACCTTAATTTAATAAAGGGTATTTTGGGGCACCTGAGCACCTCAATCAGTTAAGCAGCCAACTCTTGATTTCGGCTCAGGTCATGATCTCAGGGTGGTGAGATGGAACAAGGTGTGGAGCTCTGGGCTCTGCAGGAGTCTGCTTGAGATTCTCTCCTTCTCCCTCTGTCCCTCCCCCTGCCTGTGTGTGCTCTCTCTCTCTCTCTCTCTAAAATACATAAATCTTTTTAAAAAATAAAGGATATTCTTATAAAGTATGCAGCAAATATGCTCAGAGATAAAACATCAGATAAGTTTTCTTTAAAATGACAAATCATGTTATCTAGAATTAAATCTAACAAAGATACTCAGACCTATAGGAGAAAAATGTAAAACTATACTGAAGCATAAAAGAAGACTTAAGTAATAGAGCGATATAGCATGTCCATAAAATGGATGTCTCTATATCATGAAAAACAGTGACTTCCTCCAAATTATGTCTATAAGTTCAATGCCATTCCAATTAAAATCTCAAAGGATTTTCTCATAGAATTTAATAAGATGATCCTAAAATAATATGGGAGGAAAGAAGGCCAACAATAGCCAAGGCAATTTGGAAATAAGAAAGACAAACTTGCAGAATAAGGAATTATTATAAAGCTACCTATTGTAATTAAAACTGTGGTATTGCCCCAGGGATAAACAAGCCGTGCAATAGAATGTAGAGCCCAGAAATAAACCCATAAACATAACTAATATGTACCAGAGGTAGAATTACACATCGGCATAATGAATTCTATAAATAATGAAGATAAATAATGAATAAAAGAATGAATTATTCTGTAAATTGTACTGAAGAAAATGGCTAATTGGGAAAAAAAATAAAATTAAGCCTTTTCCTTACATTGAACGCAAACACACAATCCAAGGTGATTAAAAATCTAAATGTGAAAAAAAATCAACATTTTTAGAAAACACAGGAGAAAAATGCAAATGTATAACATCAAATTAGTTAAAAAATTGATAAAGATATAGTAACTACAAACAAAAAAATTTAAATATTGGGATATATTAAAATTTAAAACTTCTGTCTGAAAAAGACTTTTATAAATGAAATGGAAAAGACAAGTCACAGATTTAAAAGATTTTATTGTATTTATGCATACATATCCTTTTTTAAGTGTGTGGAGTCCAACGAGGGGATGAACTCATGATGAGATCAAGACCTGAGCTGAAACATCAGGAGTCGGATGCTTAACTGACTGAGAAACCCAGATGCCCCCAAAAAAGATATTTTAAGGAACAAAGGATATATAAGGATTTTAAGGATCCAGGATATAAAGAGCTTCAACAAATAGTGAGAGAAAGACAAACAACCCAACAGAATTGGGCAAGGCATATGAACAGAACAAAACAGCATGGCGAATAATAACTTAAAAATAAACTTAATCTCACTAGTAATCAGGGAAATGAATGGGAACAACAGGGATTCCATTCATCCTAATCAGATTGGCAAAATCTTGCAAGTCTGAAAACACTCGTAAGCAAAGGGAACTTTTATGCTTTTTGACAGGAGAGCATGTTGCTACAATGACTTTGAAGAGGAATTTAAGAATATCAAGTAGATTTGAAGATGGCCAAATCTCCCAATACAGCAAAACCAGGTCTACGTAGCCACTCTGGAAAGAGTTTTGGGTGCACAGGGAGACGGGTACGAAAATGTCCATTGCATTCCCGTTTGTGAGAGTGAGAAAGTAGAAATGAAGATTATTGCAAGAATGAAGATCTATAGCTGTGGGTTATTTAGCCAGGAAAAAAAAAAAAATCATTCAGCAGCAGTTCAAACGTACCAGATGCATGCCTAATACTTCTCACGTTGCTTTATGTAGGCCACCTCCATGGGGTATGTAGTATCTACTCCTTTCGATCTGCCCTGACAATTCCCTGCCATCTTTTGGCCCAGATGAGGCAGCAGACACTTCAAGGGCCTCCCTGCTCCCTACTGGCCCCCCCCGGGGGGGAGGGGGGCATCCAGCAGCCAAAGGCATCTTTCTAAGAGATACACCTGACATCGTCACTTGACTACTTAAAACCCTCTGATGACCATGGCCTACAAACAAAGCCCAAATGCCCTCGCTGAGCTCACACAAACATCACTTATCATCCCACCACCCTTTCCAAACCAGCCTCGCAGGATTGTTCATGGTTCACCAGACATGCCAGCTTCTCAGCCACCATGCCTTGGTCATTGGATTTGCTCCGTCTCCCTGAAGCGAGCTCTCCTTACTCGGGCCCTTCTCATCCACATGGATCCCCCTGGCAAAGTGCGTCAGTATGCAAGTGTCTGTACTCAAAGCTTGGCTACCGCCACACATCCACGGTCCCCATTCCCTACTCTTTTGTTTTCTATACAGTTGAACCCAAAGATCCAGGAGCTCCAGCCTGCTGGGTTCATCATGGGAGAACTGCAGTAGGAGAGAACCTCACCCGGCCCCCCCCCAGGAGGAGCCCATTCCACAGATGCTCAAAGCCAAACTCCTCCACTTTCCTACATGGCCCAGAGAATCAGCCAAGAAGAAGGAGCCTGGATTGCAGAGGAAAGAGGACAACTGGGAGAGTGAAGTTGGACACAGCCAGGGAAGAAGAAGCAGTATCAAATGCTACTGAATGTTCTCGTAGGCAGGTTTGTCCGAAAGACAGCACATGGCTGTCTCGTGGACAATGACACAGTCCCTGCCCAAGCAGTGTCAGGGTTGTCCCCTTGTAAAGCTTTTTAAAAATCTTTATGATGACACCTTCTCATGGAAGTTCGATCCTATAAAGTGGAAGTTCTCTCAGCCTGGAGTGCACCCGGACAGGTTTGGGCATGTGCACTTGTGGGCTGAAGGAGCTGGGAGCTGCTATGCCCAATGGAAGGAAGAGCATTTAGACAACCCGGGGAGGGAGGGGAGAGAATCAGAAAGGGCAAGGAGAGAGAGAAACCACTAAGTGGGGGAAGGTGGGGCAGCTGCAGGCAAGGAGGCAAGTCAGAGTTTGAAAATAAGAAAGAGGGTGCCTGGGTGGCTCAGTGTTTGAGCGTCTGCCTTAGACTCAGGTCATGATTCCGTGGTCCTGGGGTCAAGTCCCACACTGGGCTCCTTGCAGGGAGCCTGTGTCTCTGCCTCTCTCTGTGTGTCTCTTTTAAATAAATAAATAAATAAATAAAATCTTAAAAAAAAAAAGAAAGAAAGAAGAAGAAAGACCATCAAGCGATTCTAAATCACCATCGAGTGATGCTCGATGTGGCCCCTCCCTGGTAGGATCATTCATCATTGGTCATCGATGCATATTCCCTGGATCTTTGCGTGTGGGGCTGTCTCTTGGGAGTAGAGATGGAGCAATGGGCCATGTGGGGTAAAGATTGAGAGCATCCCTGGATCTGCACCTTCAGAACATGGGGTCCCTGGGGGATACGTGGAATTCTTTGAAGAGGTGGAGGGGCTGCAGGATGAGGATCTAAGATGCTCTGATCTAGATCTTAAGTGCCTTCAGCTGACATCTGGATCACTCTTGTTACCTGCACAGCCTCCAGTAAACTTCAAAAAAAACTGTTCATCTTTTCAAAGTACACTCCAGCATAAATGGACAAGTGTGCGCACCGACCACGTCACGTGTGGTGTTTAATACTCCTTCCCTGCCCCTGGCCAGAGCCCATGGTCACTCAGTTATAGAGGTCACAGAGACAACCCAGATGAAAGTCCATTTACAGATGGGGCAGTGAAAACCCAGAGAGGGAAAGCAACTTTCTCAAGACCGCACAGCTAATGGGTGCAGAGCTAAGGTTTACTTTTCCCACCCTCGGGTTTAGGCTTTTTCCTCAGGGTACAGCAGCTGTTTGTGGGTTAGGCTGGAGCCAATTCGGGTTTGAGGGCAATTCATTAAAGTATGTCCCAGAAGTCAGAACAGGAGACAAGGAGGCCTTGTTTTCTAAGTGAATCTCCCAGGGCTAGGAGCTCCAAGCAAACACATTCCTGAATGTTTGCCACCACATTTAAGACCCGAGTAGAAAAGTTATAAATGGGCTTTTTCTCTCTGCAGATAAGAAAACCACAGGATGTCAGGTCTGCGAGAGACAGACCAGTGAGATGTTTCCCTGCCCAGACTCTCTACAGCCTAGGAATCTGAATTCTCTACCAGGCACCCATAGAGCTCCATAGGTGGGGAAGACGCACATGTTTGTATAACCTCTTCAACAAACACAGGATATATTTTTAAATTGTGCTTACTTCTTTCATCAGAGAAAAACAATAGGCATTCAATGAATCACATTAAATGTTTTGCAAAATTCTAATGTATTTCACTCATCAAGGATCCTTTTTTTTTTTAAGATTTATTTATTTGAGCAGGGAGGGGAGGAGGAAAAAAAAGAACTCAACTAGAGTCCCTGCTGAGCATGGAGCTCGAACTCAAGACCCTGAGATCATGACCTGATCTGAAAATCAAGTCAGATGCTTAACCGACTGAGCCACCCAAGCACCCCAAGAATCCAATTATTCAAGAAATGACCAAATGCTAATAACCATTGAAGTTAGGTTCTGGATACACAGGGGGTTCATTATACTATTTTCTCTATTTTTAATGTATGTTTTTCAAATTCCATAACAAGGGATCCCTGGGTGGCGCAGCGGTTTGGCGCCTGCCTTTGGCCCAGGGCGCGATCCTGGAGACCCGGGATCGAATCCCACATTGGGCTCCAGGTGCATGGAGCCTGCTTCTCCCTCTGCCTGTGTCTCTGCCTCTCTCTCTCTCTCTCTGTGACTATCATAAATAAAAAAAAATTCCATAACAAAAGTTAAAACTATATGCATATTTTTAGAAGTCTGCTTCTTAAATAAGTATCAAAAGGACTTCCATTGTGGGATGTCTGGGTGGCTCAGTTGGTTAAGCATCTGCTTTCGGTTCAGGTCATGATCCCAGAGTCATGGGATCGAGTCCCACGTGCCTGGCTCCCTGCTCAGTAGGGAGTTTGCTTCTCCCTCTGCCCTTGCTCACTCTCAAAAAAATAAGTTTTTTTTTAAGACTTTCATTGTAAACATTTCATCTCTTGGTTAAATTTTTTAATGCCAAATTGCTATCAACAAGCTCCCACGGAGAGCCCCATGCTTATATCAAAGCTCTCATTTATTAAAAAAAATTGATAAATAAAAATGAAGCTCACAGATACAGAGAACAGATTGGTGGTTACCAGGGGCAGGGGGTAGGACTTGGGGAGCTAAGTGGGTCAAGGGGGTCAAAGGTTCAAACTTTAAGCTATAAAACAACATGTAATGTACAGCATGGCAACTACACTAATAACATCAGATGGCACGTTTGAAAGTTGATAAGAGAGTAAATCTTCAAAGTTCTCATCATAAGAAAAAGAAATCCTATAAACGTATGGTGATGGATAATTACTTATTGTGATCATTTTGCAACATATACAAATATTAAATCACACTGTACACCTGAAACTAATATAATGTATGTCAATGGCAGCTCAATTAAAAAACAAAAAGCTGGGGCGCCTGGGTGGCTCAGTGGTTGAACGTCTACCTTAGACTCAGGTCATGATCCCGGGGTCCTGGGATCGAGTCCCGCATCAGGCTCCCCATGGGGAGCCTGCTTTGCCCTCTGCCTGTGTCTCTACCTCTTTCTCTGTGTCTCTCATGAATAAATAAATAAAATTTTTTTTAAAAAAAGCTCTCATTTGAAAGATGAATTAAAAGTGCTTCCTTTGAAGTGGAAATTGAGACTCAGTACAGTTGGGGGCACTGCATACCCCATGAATTGAGGCAACAAGTCCATCTTGTCACTCTTGGTCATGAGTACATCACACTGGTGCATGTATACACAATCACAGTCACACAACACTGGCTGTGTGCCCCTGGGTCTCATGTGGGTCACTGACCTTGCTGGGCTCTCTGCCTTCCCAGGATGAGCAGGTCCCCCACAGCATTGCAACCAACCCACTGGCCACAGGATCTCAGAATCCCTCCCTTCCCGCCCCCCCCCCCCCAGTCTGTGTCCTCAGCTACCCTCAGGGCTCCTTGAAGGCAAGGTTGAGGCCAGCCTGTCTCTGAGTCCTGGTCTGGCCCCTGCCCCACACGGTGAGAGTGGGCCCTCAATAAGCAAATATTAGGTGATTTCCAAGTAAACTCACATAACACTCTGGGGTTATAGTCAAGAGTAGGAAGAAAGACAGGAGAGAAGTGACCTGGGAAATGAAGCAAGACCGATGCTCTACATCTCAGCTGCAATGCTTGCTATCCGAGGAGCCTGTGTCTCTGTCAGCAAAATGGGAATAAGAAACTTGGCTTTGCAGGGTTCTGGAGAAGGAGAGAGATAATGGATGCATAGTGCCTGGCACACAGTAGATGCTAAATAAAAGGCTGCTTGTGACCGAAACAATGACCCTGAGATGACAATGACGCCTGATGGTGAGCTTGGGCCAATGTCAGTGTTCCCAGCAGGGGCAACGAAGAGTTACCAGACTGGCATTAGCCAGAAGCTCAAGATCTTTTAATAAAAGCCAGGGTGGGGAGCAAATTCACAGGTGTTCAATGCTTTCACATGCCATAACTTTAATTAATCCTCATGTCAAGCTGGGAAGTGTTTCGCGCCCAGGTCTACGGGAGGGAAGGAGGACACGTTGACACAGACGGGTACAGCTGCTCACCCAAGATCCCAAAGGTGGGAATTGGTGGAATTTCTGTGCTCTGGGGCAGGAAGTATTTCTGGGCTCCCAGGACTCTCTTCTTCAAATCACAATGCATGCCCTTTGGGGCCCGGTCCCCGTGCCTTTGTTTAACAGCAAACATGGTGCCATTCCAGGCTGACATGTCCGAGCTGCCGAGGGCAGGGCAATTGCTTGGCAGGTGCACTGAGCTTTTCTTTTCTCTCCCCAGAACCTGGAACCTTGCTCCGCCTGGGTTCAGCTCTGAGGACTTGACACTTGGAGACCCTTCCCTCCTGAGGGGGCTCAGAGGTTGGAGACGGGCCTTGCCCAAAGGGACTGTGGAGCAGGAGAAAGGACAAACATAGGTGGGCATCCCAGCTGCCTCTTCACTGGCAATGTGATGCTTAGTCAGATGACTTCAGCCTACTGTGCCTCAGTTTCTTGCAAAATGGGGATAACAGTGCCCACCTCCATTCTCGAGGGTTGCTGAGAGTCCTTAAGATAACAATGTGTAGAAAGTGGCCAGTAGCAGGTGCTCAGTAAATGTTAGAGCAAGGGGCCTCTGCCATTTCTGTGCATCCTCAATATGAGTCTCCTATTTTTCTATTTGATGATTCACTTTTAAAACTCCATCTCAAAAAATAATAAAATAAAATAAAATAAAAATAAAACTCCATCTCACACAAGTAGAAAGCCAGTGGCCCTGGGAAAGCTTTTATTTCTCTGTTTGGTCAATACTTACTGAGTTTTCATTGTGTACCAGGTACTGTTCTGGGCACTGGGGATACAGCTGTGAATCAACACCCCCTCATCATCAGAGAGTGCATTCCAGTGGGAAAAAACCGTGAACAAAGAGAGAGAAAGAATGTGACATCATTGACACAGTCAAGGAAAAGAAACCAAGGCACAAGGTAGACCAGAGAGACAGTATCTGTTTCATTTAGTGGGAAAGATAGAAATAGACTTACCCCAAGTTTATAAAGCTTAAGCTTCAAGGCTTTTTGCATAGTCAGGTCCCTTCTTGTTCCCATTCTAAGTACCTCCCTACCAAATTGTGCATCCTCAACCACAGATTCTTTTCCCTAAAGAGCACTGTCCCAAAAATTAAATACGCTTCAGGCAGGCCCCACAAAATCTGGTTCTGGGCCTGGTGACCGGGAAAGCCCTCTCCAAGAAGGTGATACGGGAGCCTAGACCTGAATAAGTAGAAAGGAACCATTAAAATGAGCAAAACAAAATTCTTGGCCCCGCAGAAGCCAGTGACTCTCAAAGGCTCCAGTCTATCTGCTTCGCTGAGTTGAAAGGCTGTATTTGAAATCCCATCTCCAGCCAAGCCCCTAACAAAGTGGAACCGAGTGTTCCTGTCTCCCTGGACCCCCTCCCTGCAGGCTGTTGGCCTAAGCCAGGCCTGAGTGTGGGTCAGAGAGG